AGAAACTTTTGCTACTGCCCGTGGTGCAATCTCCTGTCATTCCTCCATTTCACTTGCATGGCACACAGTGACGCAGGTCGTCAATAACATTGCTAAGTTCTGAACATGAGTTGCTCTATACACTGGCGAGGACACGCTAACATAATGTGTCTGTTTGGCTACCCGTCACGTTCAGGCTAAAACGAAAGGCGATGGAGGACGTATGCTGTTGAAGTGTTGCGTCTGATAACGATGGAGCTTTGACGCGTTTTACGCTACGCTACGCTAGGGATGCTACCCTAGGCAACCGCAGCAGTCCTTACGGCATTGTCGATGGGTTATTGCTTCAGGCTTTTTCAATAAGCTGAGACAGACAACAAAAGGAACAATACAACTATTACACGATGCTCTGAAAATGATGCAAAGCAAGGCGACTTCGCACACATTTTGTGCAAGAAATTTACAGGCGTAACGTTACATCATTTTTTTGCAGTTGCCGTAACACTGGATGCAAGTTGCAAGCCAAAACCTTTACCTCACGGCCTGTGCTAACTACATACAACGGGCACGCAATGGCCAGAGGAAATCGTCCCAACTCTCGACGAGTTTTCGGCCGCTCTGAGGATTGCTACCGTGTCATCACTCAGGGCTGGAATCTCACGGGCCAGTCGAATACAATTATCGCAGTGGAACTTGTTGGCGCTGTCTTCATTACGAGGCTCGCAATCGATTGTGGACTCGATCTCGAGCAGACCTGCCAGGGCGGATCAGCCCACACTAGTCTGGGAAAGTCGGCTGTCTGGTTTATTTATGGCAGCGGTCTATAGAGTAACTTGAAAATCTAGCCAGAATTGAAGTAGACAGAACATTTTGTGTGTTGTAGTTATTTATCTTGCTAATTTTAGCCCAATGTCACATATATGTACTGCACAGTTATCACTTGAAGGCGTCAAAAATTTGTTTCGGAAAGGTAGGAAAATGTGACTCGATCATTTACTTCATTCATACGTTAAAACTCCTTTCAGTTTGTAGATCAATGAAGCCAGCTGAAGCGCATACCTTATCTATTACCGAGTATCGCATGGCCTCATCAGACTTAATTTGCAATCGTCGACTGTCAAGCATTGAACATAGTCATTATTTAGCCAAATGGTGCTGAGGCTCACTGAGCTCCGAAACATTGCTCAGGGTTGCAGTTCTCGGCAAAATGTTTATTGCCTGTTCTGAAACATTGTTATGTCAGCCATGTTCCGAGTCAGTATTTTCTGAGGACGGCCCAGTTGACGTTCTAGTATTTGGTCGTGGTCGTAGCCTTTGATCAGCGAGCCGTTTATCATGTCTTATAACTACCAAAAATATGTACCTGTTTCTTCGTATGATTTCTGTGCTCATTCCAGCTATACATTAGAGTGACAAATGAATTACGAGACGAGTTAACTGAGCTGTTGGCTGACTGTTGGCCGCGGAATTTCACATAACTCCGCCAAACTCTGTCAGCGGACACTCGAGTTATGAATACTTGTGTCATCGTCACTTTCTACCTCCAACGTCGGTCCAAAGACGACGCAACACTTTTCAGACGAGCTACTGTAAATTGCTCCCGTGACATTGGCGACATTCCAGTGCAGTGCAGACCTCCGCTCTGCCGCCGCCGCCTCCTTCACCGCCGGACCCTGGCCTGGGTCTGGCGGGTCGCTGGCGCCGCCCTCACTGGGTCCGTGGTCAGGGGGTGCTGTTAGGGGGAGGAGTGAGCGCGCAGCCGGTCGGCGGTCGACGCGGCCGGCGCCCGCCAGTTTATTGGCGACTGCGGCCGCTAGCGGACGGTGGCGCCTCGCGGACTCTGAACAGAGTTCGAGTGACTCGAGTCCGAGTGGAGTCTGGGTAGTCACCCGAGTCAGTGTGGACTCGGGTTTCAGAGACTGTGTGAGAGTCAGTCGGACTCGATGTGGACATCATAGAGTCGGAGTCAGTGAAGAGTGAGTTCAGACTTGGACACAGCCGCGGACAGGCAGACTCAGACGCCGGGCGCCGCCGCCAATCAAGGTACGACGGACAAAGTGCATCCCGATAGAGAGAAGTTGTTGCGATTGCAACACTGCGCCGTCTCTGTCATTTGGGTCTAAGTGTTGCGAGGCAGGCGCTGAGTGGTCGGAATGGCCGACCTAGCAGACCACTCCGTCAGATGCCACTGAGTCTGACGGCAACGCACCTAATCCGAGACTAATTGCAGCATTAACCGTCCATTTTGCATAGGCTGATAACGTGGCCTCCATTAAACGATGGCAGTTTCCAGTGTACATATAAGCTCTGGAGTCTGCGGTAGTTTTCCCGATTTGTCTTTGATGACTGCTGATATACCTACTAAATGTAAATATTTCCACTGGATGACGGACTGATTTATTCAAATGGCTAGGGCAACCATAGCTTGCATTTTTTACTCCTTTCTACGCGCTGCTTTGCTGACAAGCTAGGAAGTGAAGATTTACAGGTGGGATGCCACGAAGTGATGCTTTGGGGGATCTCATGAAACTCCGGGCGTGTTAAATTAGAAAATACGACGCTTGTGCACTTCTGTGCATCTTCTTACTGGATTCCATTCGCCCAGAAAATAGACAATAGACATCATACAAATAATACAGTCAAATGCCAGACTTCTATGGTCCAGCATTCAGATAATTTCATTGGCGTGCATTAGAAAGAAAATTACTCCAAAATGTCATATTTGAGTAATTTGACGTGCATTGATTTCATGTCAGTTGTGAAGAGAAATGACTTCCGATCACAGCTCAAAGTTTTATAAACACTGGTCGCTAACGGCTGTGTGCCACGCCAGTATTATTCAAAACGGAAATAAAGTGATAATTACAATGCATTTTAGTGCGTTCCTGTCGTTAAAAGCAAGTGCATTTTAGGGTAAGTTATGCATTTTCTTATAAAATGTAAATCATTTTGTTACTTAATGAATAAATAAATCAACTCCAGTGTGTTTTATCGCCTAGGTGAAAATGCGAGAGCAATTACGATTGTCTCATAGATGGTTTAGATAAAAATTGAAAATCAGAATGGTACATTTCCAATACTTTTGAATTAAGAACGCATAAGTTCGAATAGAATGATTCTTGCCAAGTGACATAAATTTATCTAACGTTTGACATAGATTTATCTAACGTTATGTCTTCAACCCCGAGAAGGCACATTAGATGTATGTCTGAATTGAGTGACTGTTTTTCACGCGTTAAGTGATTGTCTGCCACGGACGTGAATTGCTCGAGTAATCTGTCAGGCTACGCGATCTCAGAAATTCCGCCGAGGTTTCAAACTGAAACAGAAAGTAAAGTCCTAATAAACTATGCGTGCCGGGGCCTTTGGCACTTTAATCTCCGGCTGATCAGAAGGCCAACGTCGAACTTAATCCAGCTGAACTGGCCGCTGCCTGGCCGATTCTCTCTGACATTGATTTGGAGAGTCGACGGAGGGCCGCCCGTCCTCTGGGCAATGCATCTCCAGAATGGTTCACTAGCTGACGTCTGTTCTGCCTCTCGAGCGGCGGCTTCTGCTGTGATTTCTGCGGTTGTCATGACGACCGGGGCGGCGTCCAGAGGCCCCCGAATAAACACTGGCCTCTCGGCTGCAGGCTGGCGCGGTGTTTATTTTACGAATCGCCACAGCAGCCGGCGGTGGTCCCGCCGAGGACATGTCTCGTGTCAGAGGGACACTGTTTGGAGCTGCTGAGACCTTGGCGGCCCCCTGACACGGCTGGCGTCGCCGCACCGGACCAGTTGTGTCTGCGTCCGCAGAGCCGTCTATCTCAATTCCCTCGGGGGCTGTGAAAGAAAAGGACGTGTCTAACTATGAGACCTTGCCAGACACCCGCGCATTAATAATATTTCCTGAGACCGCTGGCGACACTTGAGGCAGCCATGTCTCCTGCCAAGCGGGGCGAAAGCATTAGCGAATGTTTCACATGTGGCGTGCAACATGCCGCCTCCGTCACGAAATGACGCGTTACAAGATGTGCCACTTTCCCTGAGCAGCGACATGAGGTGCGGCCGAAGCAAAAACACGGATCTTGCCACCGTATATTGATTCATTACGTTTATTAGGTTCGATGAGGTGTAATTCGTAGAAGTTATTGGTGAGATAATTCCGTCAGTCTCGTCACAGCTCAGTTTCGTCACATCTATTGATCGCGCACGACGTTTCTACTTGGCTCTTAGATCGTCCTTCCATTTCTTTTTCTGTTCAGAGACGATGTAATTTTTCAGATGATGGAATTCAGAAGGTTTCCATTTCAGGCTAACTGTATCTCGGACTGCTCCACTACTTCTTGTCAGCCTAACCATCTCATCCTTCATTTTTATGCATTGATATCGTGTTTTTCAGAGCTGCCGGGACACGCCACTGTAGAACGAATGATACAACATTTGTTTGAGTGTATGCCAACATTATTACCATATCACTCGACTTGCAGTATGAGTGGTGTCATAGAGGGTTTTAAGGGTGAGAGTAATTTTGATGCTACCAGTCGCATCGCTTTACATACTGTTCGAAACGCATCATCACCTTCCGTGTCATTTTTAATGGTTGCTTAAAAGGAAAGGAAAGTTAGCGTGGCATCCTCCAGAAATAATTCAAGTCTGAAATAATACAAATAAATATGTATACAATGAAAGGTAATCGCAAACTCTTTACGAATAGTCAATAGATCGAGTTATTTTTCAGCTTCCACTTGCATTTTACGACGAACTTTTGAGCGGTCGTTTTGTAAAGCAAAATACATCAATATTTTTTTTTTTTCATAGCTAAGCAACTGCCAATATACTGGATTCCTATAGCAAAACACATGAGCTTTGTACCAACATTGCAACAAACGCCTTTTAAAAGTGCATTTAGAAAACTTCTCAATGCGCACCTTGCTAACTTAAAAATGGCATTGCAGTTGATACGTTTGCAACTTGCAGAACGTTAAAAACACACTCAGGTGTCAACCGGTACTAACTTTATGTTTCTTCTTCTTCCAGATTCCGCTGAGACGTTCTCAGAGTAACCCATCTATGTCAACAAAATGAATCACCGCAGGGCGCGACTAGCCGAATTCTCCACAAAACCATCCATCTGGTGACATATTGTGACGTCACTGTCAAGTCGCGTCGGCTGACGTGAGACAGCGCCAGCGGGCGTCACGAGTCATTTTCGGCGCGGTGTCGCCAGGCGGTAGCGCGGAGGCGTTGAAGTTGATCGGGCACCTGTGACCCGTCAGCTGACGAGCCCTCCGACGGCGCCGGGCCGAGGCGGATAAGAGGTCATAAAAGGTCACCGCTTACCCAGTGACCCCAGTGACTTCAGTGACCTCAGTCATCTGCCGCAGCAACAGTGATTGGCAAGCCTGTGCAGTGACCTAGCAGAGGTCAGGTTGAACGATCAGATACTGACGAGGCTGAATGTGTAAGAGCCGGTGAGGATCACCAGAAGAGGGACGGTTCAACACCTACTCCTTCACGAGGACGCAGTGAAGACCGCAGCGCTCCAGTATCAGTGGTGTGTCAGTGCGGTCTGTCGAGTGTCAGCTGACACGGAGAGATGGCGCTACTGGCGGTGGTGACCCTGCTGGCAGCGGCAGTGACCTCAGCACGGGCCAACGAGAGCGATCAGTACACAGGTAGGTCACCTCCACCTCCCAGCTGCCCACACCTATCCGTGCTTCTATCCTCAGGATACTGAAATCCTTCTCCTCCATGCCGCAACCCCCCTCCGGGCTGGACAGGCAACTTTATCTCATGCGGGCTGCTCCCTTGGAGCGGCACCGCTGCTCCCGAGGGAGCGCACCCCGTAGCCGGGTGCAGTGAGTGCCTTGGGGCTGGGTGGCCTGTCCTCTGGACGGGCTCAGCCCCGGCGACTCACTAGGGTGCCTGCCCAGACCAATGTCTCCCCCTAAATCCTATCATCCTTCCGGCTCTGCAATGGTCTTGTCGACCGAAAGGGCCTAACCCAACAAAACAAAACCAGCTGCCCGCCCTCTCTCAGCTGAGGTTGGCCAACGGTCCCACTGAAAGCAGAGAAAAGTGAAGTGACATGCTGACCGTTAGGGAGGCTTTGCACATTTCTGTCACCTGGGACCCACCAGAGACAAGTTTATTATCTCTACAGTCTGTGCTAGCAGCTGCCTTGAAAGTAGCGGAATGCTGGTTTTCCGATATATCAACACAAAAAGCATCTGGGACATTTCTCACCTACCAAAAAACTGCAAAACTAAGCTTGTGAGGTTTGAGAGATCACATCACTGTCACGACAACAACAGAGACGTCACATGTCATTGACTCACTGCCAATTCGGACCTCGGACACTTATCTCTCCTGCTATCGCAACTAGATGGATGTGCGAACAATGCGGCCCTAGCTGCTGTAATCGTTCGCGCCGCGGACAGTTATGACCTTGTTATCCACTAATCCGCTCCACTGAGCCGCTTTGCAGTTGACCAGCAGGAACGTGTGACGCCCACTATCGCTGAGCTATTCGGCGCCTTTCTGAAACCCGTATACGCCCAGTGAAAGGAGCACGATTGTGACTTATTGCGGAAAGTCGCGAAGAGGAAAGAATGCAGAGGAGTGGCAAAGACAAAGTGACTGAAAATCCCACATGCGACTCTGGCTACGACTTTGTAAATCAGGAAGATTTTTATTAGTTTTCTTTTGGGAAAGAGCTAGCCTCTGGTTGGCTTCTTCTGGTCATATGTCTCAGCTCGATTGCCCAGTGTCAGGTTTGGAAGGGAACGGAAAAGTTAATTAGTCAGCTAACTGGTTAGAGAGTATATTACGGTAATAAATGATCCTCTCCGCCCGTTCCATCTCCCACGTTTGCCAAATACAACAATTTGATTAAAAATTAGATTGCCTCTTGACAAAGCGGCAACACTGGGTGGCTCGCTAACTGAGCTCGAATTTGAAGTAAAAGCAAGGTCCCAAAGCATTTTATTCGGGTCGGGGGTTGACGTAAACACTCATGCAAGTAAGCTTGCTTTTTAGGAGCTCACATTTTGCTTTCCACATTGCCCCAAATCGTACCGAATAATATTAAACTTCGATGATTTGCGGACGCCAAATGCAAGACTGTCAACTTTCCGCTATAAATTTCCCAGCGTTAATGCCACCAACTCTTCTGATGGCATCACAGCAATCGTCGCGTCGTATTCTGTTCTTCGAGACCCATTTCACCGCCGAAGATGCATACTCTCCTTATCTTCGGCACTATTTCAGGCAACCGACGGGCCACTAACAAGGTCGGTATTCTCGAGACCTCGGCCGCCGCGAGCTCCGTCGGGCGTGGGCCCGGTCCCGTCTAACCGGAGCAAAACACTGCACTGGCGGCAGCAGCCGGGGGCGACGGCGGGGCTTTATTGCGGCTTTGTCAGCCGAGTAAGGCGATTTACCCGTGATCTTGTCCAGTTCAGGTGACGCCCATTTCCAAGAGTGGACAGTGAAGCGAATCGGTCACAGGGTCTCTTGTTTGACATTCGCGAGAGCTAATGAGGGCGGGGCTGGGTGAAACTAAGGACAAACACACTAAGATGAGCAATGCGTTTTGTAACTGGCGAATGCCTTTTTATTCAGTCTACACAACACAGGCGTCACATTTCTGTAAGTTCACTAACATATAGGTATTAAAAATGCATGATTCATATTCAAATGATAATCATATCAACAAATGACTCGTGTGGACAATTCCGTATTTTAAACACGACAAAGCACAATAGTGTTTGTTTGTTTTGTTTTGTTGGGTTAGGCCCTTTCGGTCGACAAGACCATTGCAGAGCCGGAAGGATGATAGGAATTAGGGGGAGACATTGGTCTGGGCAGGCACCCTAGTGAGTCGCCGGGGCTGAGCCCGTCCAGAGGACAGGCCACCCAGCCCCAAGGCACTCACTGCACCCGGCTACGGGGTGCGCTCCCTCGGGAGCAGCGGTGCCGCTCCAAGGGAGCAGCCCGCATGAGATAAAGTTGCCTGCCCTGAGTGCCCAGCCCGGAAGGGGGTTGTGGCGTGGAGGAGAAGGATTTCAGTATCCTGAGGATAGAAGCACGGACAGGTGCACAATAGTGTTATATCGAATTCTCACCATCACTGACGGCTAGCTGCTGGGGTAGCGAGTAGCGCCGGCTCCACAGGAGCCCGGTGTCGCCATCTATCGGCAGTGGGACACACTTCCCGTCCAGCCGCACTGCGGTGGACGGTGGGGACGGGCCAGCAGTTGGCGCGCAGTGTCGCATCGAAAGTATTTGTTAAATGTCGCCACTGCTTTGTTTTACATAAATCATAATAGCCATGGTTGCTCTATTATATTGCGTGTCAACCAAGCATAACTATTTCAAGTCATTCGAAAGTTTAAGGATTTTACTTCAAGTGCTTTGAAATGTGTTAGGCGTCCTAGTGCCTACATATTTGAAAAAGAAAACGATCAATGCGATCTAATAATGCAAATGAAATGAAATTGCTTTACAATGAAAAGGGAACTATTTATACTGCAAAGGTATTCTGGCCGCTTATTGTGTTCAAAAATCAAAACATAGTTGCAATGCATAACGCTATAGTTCTTATGGCGTACACGAATGACCTAAAACGCCATGCGGATATTTGCTATGTCGCGTGATCTAAGACCATATAATCTAAAGGACATCAAGTCTCAAGGCTGCTCGTGCATGATCTATGGCGCTGAAATGGGACTGTCTTTGACTTTCCTTTCTATCAGTACAAAACACGGAATGACACCAATTTTGATCGGGTATGCCTTTCATATTCCAGCTCACCTAGCAGTAAAGCACGCTTCAGAGACGGCAAGTGCGATGCCATTGTTTATTTCCCTTGGTTAGCCTATTCCTTGTGGACGATGGGCCATGTTCCTGACAATTTTTACACGGTTACCGATCGAACGCTTACGTAATGCACGTTCGCTGTTAGGGCTGGGTGTGGCTGACGGCAGTCGCTGCCTGCTATAGCCGGATGCTTCATTGCGTGCTGGTAAAGCCCCATGTAGACTGTGGGCGTCGGCTGCTGAAGACGTTCACAGTCCATGAGTACCGCTACACTACTGACATCACACGGTGCTTGAACACGGGGGGGATGGAACCGGCGACACGGGAGGTGGCACCGGCTACCTCCCATGCCGATCGAAACAAGCCATCAGGCGTGGAACATGCATCAAACGCCCCTCGAGCAGGTGTTGTTTGACAGTCGATACCTATCCGGGCCGTAAAACATCCTCACCTGCTGCAGTGGCGCCGACGCGATCACCAGCAGGTGTTCATGAGCTCTGCGCTCCCCGAGACACCGGCGACAGGGGCGGGACGGAGGTCCGGCCCGGCGCGCCACCAGAGTAGGTATCATGAGACGCTGATGTGGCGCTCCCGACGGCGCGGCGGTCCAGTCGCGGGCTAATGCAGAACTATAAATGGACCTCCCGGGAGGCCGGCGCTAGATCTGACGATACCACACGTCTCTCTGCTCTCCCTGGGCGCGCCTGCCCCGGGCGTCCGCGGCTCACCATCCGCGAAAGCATGGTGGAGAAATGTGGAGGACGTCGTGCTCGGCAGGGGTCAGGTTGGGCTCGTTTTATCCTCTAATTTAGTCATTCGGGGTCGTGGGGTGCGGCGATGCTGAGCCTTTATCGCGCCCATTTGTTAGCAGCCAATGCATGGTAAAGAACGCGATTTAGTATATGTGAGATTTCTTGTTCTAATGCATTTCAAAAGATACGATATGACTCAGGTGAGACGGCTTGCTTTATATGGCACACTCGTAGATGAGATGGCTTGTTTTACAGACAGTCGTGGCGGGATTAGCTTGATCCTGGTGTATCCCACCATCTCTTGCTACCTCACATCTTGTTTGTATGGCAAAAGTACGAGCTGTCTGCTGTCATAGCACGTCGCGCGCTTGACTTCACTACTTCCTGTAAAGGTGGAGACCAGCATCGAATCACAAGCAAGAATTGTTCTTGCTGATAGAGCAAACCGTTTTGATACAAGGCAGCCTCTCATCAATCTTCCAACCGTTTTAGAAACTCTTGTCTTCTCACCGGATGCCATGCTGTCAGAGATTGTCATATAAATTACTAGCACCCTGCAGGGACAGTTTATGCCACCTAGTCTCGGCACCACTTCCTGCCTCGCGCCGTCTACATCCATGTCAGCCAAAGTCCTTTCTGACACCACCCTGATAGCGTTCTGACACCCTCCAACGCCGCTCCAACGCGGCTCTGACAACGCTTTCACATCATTTCATCGCGACGAAGATAGTGTTCCATACCTCGCCGCTCCTCGATCGTTGCGGCAGGCCGACGACGGCTCGAAACTGTCGTTGTCGACGGCTCGACTGCTGGCGTCGGTCGCACGCGATTCCGGTGTGTTTTCGTGATACCTCCGTGCGTGGAGCCGTGATTGGGACCTCCGTGACAGCTCGGCCGAGCCGCTGTGGTGATTCCACGGATACTGTGCCAAGTTGTCGATGATGGTCCAACTTTCGCGATGAATCGTGTGACGTCCATTTTTGGCTACTGATAAAACCGGTCCTTTGGACGGACACAGCGTGTAGGCAGCGCCGATTGCTGATTTCATCTGGGTAGTTATGGTCAGTTAGGTGTTGGAGACTAGACCCTTTGTGTCTGTTTTT